TGGAGGTTGAGAATGTTCGAATGTTTTTCAATCCTTATGGAGGAAGAATGGGTGAGATCCCAAGTTCTAGGACACCGTTCCCACATAGAGCTGGCAATTTGTACAAGATCGAGTATCTCGTGAGCTGGTCGGAAGCTGGAGATGACGTGGAGAAGAATCAGTTGGCACGTGCGAGAGAGATGTATGAATTCATGAGCCCGTACGTGTCGAAAAATCCCAGGGAAGCGTTTTTTAACTACCGTGATCTTGACATAGGGTCGAGTGTGAATTCCACGTACGAGGAAGGTAAAGTCTATGGGGTTAAATATTTTAAAGACAACTTCGAGAGGTTGGTTGATATTAAAACCTTGATCGATGCTGAAAACTTCTGGAAGAACGAACAAGGTATTCCGGTTCGACGGTGATGATTAATAAGTGCGACACGAGTGTTGTGTGATTTGTGACATATATTTAAGTTTTCTTTTTCAATCAAATGAAGTAATAAACATGATGTCCAATATATATTGCTATGAACAAAAATCAGCATACCTATTAACAATAATGCTCCCTTCATTGGTATATGTTTATCTTACGTGTGTTAGAATTTTGCTCAACACATGATCATGCACATTAGCAAGTTAATGGATTAACGTCATTTTAATTAAACCAATTGTAAGTTTGTAACTAGTATATTTAGTTTAAACTGTTTTACTATAACTCAGAGCGCTTCATATGTCACGTTTTTTTGAAAGAAAACCTTTGAGTTACTTACCAGTCCTGGAGTGACGAAAAGAAAGCAACACCCCTGTTCGAACCAGAGACCTTCATATGCATGAAAGATGTATTCTCTACGTTCCATAAAATAAGATGTTTTGAAGTAAATTTGTTTTTAAAAAGTATAAAATGTTTTGATATTTTTAAGATATTTTACCTTTATTAAAAATTGGTTGATCAATAACATTTTGTTTTATTATTTACTAGGGCCAGTCCGAACTACGCCCAGATTTTTTGTTGAAATTTTAATTATATATGTTGTATGTTATTTTGATATATAAATAATATAATCTATTATAAATCTAAGTAGTTAGACAATTATATAAAATATTTTTAATATTTTTTTTTGTCTTTTGAATTTCAAAAATTTTAAGATCCAAATATTTTATGTCATAGATTATCAGTATGTGTTTTTTATAGAATTTTTGTGTATTGTGGTTTGTCTCGAGTTTTGTTTCTTTATTTGTTGTATGTTATTATTTTATTTTCGATTTTTTTTTGTAATATATTTTTTGGTTATTTACTACTCATTGTTTACTGTTTGAATCTTTTTGATACTTATTCTAAAGTGGATCTTATTTACCTAAAATGGAAAAAAAAATTAGTGTGTGAATATTTTTTTTCCTTAGATTTGATGAAACGTAAAGGAAAACAATATGATAATAGATTTTTCGTATTTCTAAACTTATACACTTCTTTATTTATTTTGAATATATTTAAGTATTCTGTAACTTTTAACTTAACTAACTAAAATTTTCATTAAACACATGAATTTGTTTTTTCATTAAACTCAAGTTATATTACATAGCATAATTAAATTTTAATTAGTCTATTTTTATATCTTATTAGTTCTTGGTTTTACAATTATTTTCATTATGTATCAATTGTTAATTATTTTTATATCATTTTGTATTCTAGGTTAACCTTAAATTTGGTAGTAAAAAGTGAACCAAAAATCTATTAGATTAAGTATTTTTATTTTCATTGGTATAAATCTAATGAACTGTATAAAGATTAAGAGCGTAAATTGATTTATCCTTTTTCATGAATTTTATTTATTAGAATTATAAATTTATTTTTAATTATATTATATATTTTCACTAAATGATTATTTTATTATAATTATAATAATTTTATTTATTATAATTAAAAATTATTTTTTAATTATATTATATATTTTCACTAAATGATTATTTTTTTGACAAAAATATTAGTGTTAAGTTTTTTGGTTTCATTAAAAATAAAATATTAATTATAATGATTTAGAAGTTATTAAATTATTTGAAAGTTTCGGTGGCTGTATTTAGGGTTCACTTCATGTTTGTTTGAGACATGTTCAGTGTGATATAGTTGTGTATTTTTGCAAGTTCTGTTCTCAAGCCTATCGTATTATGTGCTAATTTTTCTCCAACTTATTCTTAAAAACTATCAGTTAAGTGAAAAGATATTTACTCTCATTTATTTTTTATTACCGTTCAAAAGAGATAAACGCACACTCATTATTGTGCTAGATATAGTGAACGTAACAATATTTTCTCATTTTCCTTCTCTTTTTCATCTTATTTTTTCTGAAAAAATATGAGATTAGCGGCCACTGGAATGGTGTTATGAGGTAAAATATTTTGAGGCGTGATGGTGTTAAGCTAATGGCATATTATTTGTCAAGTTATACGCCTGATATTCAGATTTATTTTGTCTTCTTGTGTATATTCGTTTCAAGATAATTAATTCTTATTTAGTGTTTAATTTGTCTATAATAAAATGAATGATATGTTCACTTAAACATTTCACCATGTCTATCAAAATTTGATGTCCTTTTATATATTGGACATTTTTTATTTTTATCTACCATTGATAAATAAAATATCTAAGAATATAAGTTATATATGGATTATTTTCAGCCTTATACATTCTTTTGAATTCATGGATATTATGATTTTTTTAATAGTTTTTTTTTCTCAAAATAAGAAGATTCATATTTAAAAAAAAAGAATTGATAAATTCATTCACAGAAAATAAATATTTGTTAATATTAAACATTAAGTTTTTGTGTAAGAATAATTTTGCATGTCATGCGTTATTTTCTTCTCACCCTATTTAATGACATGGTACCACTATGAGGGAGAATACTTAACTTTATAAAATAAGATAAGATATATATAAGAAGAAAATAAGTTGCTACAAAAGAAAGAAGATGAAAATAAATAGAAAATTCAAATATGTGTCCCACGTGTGCAAAGAAAAGAACTTGATCAATTCTTAAGATCTAAATTAAAGATGAAAATTTTATTTGTAGATTTTGGGATCCTACAACCGTGTGGGCGGGCACCTCACTTCAGAACTTGAATCCGACTTTTGTGAAATCCTAACTTTCTTGTTTTCTTACGTTTATTTCTTAACAGTCCAAATAATGATTTTTGCGCCCCAACAATCTGAAGTCGTTATTGTATCAAAAACCAAAGAAACCGGAAACAAACGCAGCGTATCAAGAGAGATACCACATGTCATCACCTAAAAAACCTATTTAATGACATGTCAACTTAAGATGAGGGAAAACCCTCTTTTATATATACAATATAGATAGATAGATGATTGGTTATCATATTTTAATTTATTCAATGAATCATATTATTTTCTAAAAAGTTAAGGTTTTTTTTTAATATTGTGCTTTTACAAAACATCTTATATTATGGAATAGATGGAGTATACATTTGTCGACTATGACATTCAACACTTGTTTCGGTATTATTTAATGGACAACAGGGATTTAAACAAGACTTGCACGATATGCATATTTGATCGATTAATATTCTTTGATGGATCTTATATAGTTTTATTATTAAAAATATGATATGTAAGCATAGGTTTGAGTGACTTAACTTATACACATGTATTAACCTCCAAAATCTTTCATATAAACACTACATAAGACAAAATTTTTTAAACTCAATTTGGTGTAATATATATAAGAGAAAATTACTAGAATGTTATAAAAAATTAGTAGAATGTTGTAAACCGGTATTCACTTATAAGGAGCAAGTGAGTGTCGGCTTATGTTTGGGGGGTTAGGGGGGGGGCGTCAAGAGTAGGCAGTTGTGGGGCTTGTGGATTCAGGTTATGGTGAAGATTTTGACAACACAATGTCAGCTATAGGGGTATGTCTTTACTCTTGCAGGAGCCCTTGTATGTTGGAGAGTGGTGCAACAATTTATTGTAGCAATTTCAACCATGAAATCTGAGTATATGACACTTGGAAAAGCAGCTAAGTAAGTGGTTTGGGTACAAAGACTTGTATCCGAGTTGGAGTTGATCAAGGAGGTGTTCAACTACATTGTATAGCTAATGTATGATATGTTTGAATAAGAATCAAGTGTATCATGCAAGGAAAAATTTACATAGCTATAAGGTTTCACAAAGTAAGGGTGATAACAGCTTCTTGAGAAGTTTTACAGAAAAAAACTGCATACGTCAGAAAATGCAGCTGACAAGTTGACCGAACTCATTATATGAGTAATTTAAGCATTGTTTATATTTCTCCATATTGGCTGGTGCAAGGAGTAGAGGAGGTCCTCACTCCCATACGATAAAGAGTTTTCGTGAAGGTTGAGTTTGTTGATTATAAAAATGACTTAAATCTTTATGAAAGGAAGAAAAACTTGTGATCAAATTGTGCTGGGGCTGAAAGGATCTCAAGGTATCAGTAGGCCCGTCTCAGGTATTATATGGGCCCTGAGCAAAAAAATTTTTGCTCATATAATTTTTTTTTCATTAAAATAAAGATCATAATTTAGGCTAGAAAAACTCAAAAAATTGTGATGGACCCTATGTCAATGCACCTCCAGCACATGCATAGGATTGGGGCTGAGTCAGTATGGTATATCTTTTACGATTAGAAAAAAATACATTTCAAAGAAGAAGAAAATTTTTCTAAAAAGAAAAACAATATCAGATTTGAGGCTTATATAAATACATGTCTAAGGGCATCTCCAACCCAACTCCATTTTTTACTCTTTTACTCCATTTTGGAGGAAAAAATAGAATTTTACATTGGAGATGCTCTAAGAGATTCTGAATACAAACAATAAAAGGGTAATGTCTCAGTTATGTTTTGCATTCTTATGTTTCTTTGCTTCTTCAAACTTAATTTGCGTTTGTCTACAACAAAAACCATATTCTACCGAAATTCCATATGAGTTCGATTCAGTTCTTGTATGTACCCTACAAAGCTAGCTAGGAGAAGAGCAAAGCAGATAAAAGCAATCTTTGTAACTGAGACTCCCAGCTTCGAATTTCAATTTAAGAATTTCAAAACAAGGAAACAAAACATTAGTCAAAATAATAACGAAATATGTGTATGAATCAAGAAACTAAACACTTTCGGCTTTAACGTTAATAAGATAACTCCACGATTAAGGTTTATTTGTTTAAAGAGGTTGGCCACTTATCCACCTCTCGAACAAGATTGAACTCTCCACTGGTTTATATTCTAGTGTGTGCCCGCCTCCCTATATAAACCAAACACAAATTAACCAGTATTCATATCTGATGTAGAAAATAAAACCTTTGCATTTAATTCTATGAAAATTTTAGGATCAAATAATTACTTTAACAGTGGCAAATGTCATGTTATTAGCATAAGTCTTGGTGTATCTACAAATAAAAGGTTGATCAGCCTAATACAAACTGAATTAATAGAAATCATCAAAACAAAGTAAATGGTATATACCCAGCGACTTTATCATGTACCATCCATGGCCTCCATTTCTCAACAATGGAAAAGTTTAGAGACCTTATCCAGTCTTGAGTTCCAATGAAAGGGTTTGTCATATCATGATCGCCACTGTTCACTAGAAAAAAATCAAACAATGCAACAAGATTTGTGAAGAAGTTGTAAACTATTTTGTGCACCTGATGATGAGAGATCGATAGCCTTCAATGCTGCTATTCATATGGTATGGTATGCTGCTTTTAATGTTCTTATTGCAGTGGACATTATAGTTACATCGCTCCCATTTTCCTGTAGTCCCCTGCAATCATAGAGTTTGATCATCATATTTTAGCAATGATCAATGATACTAAACAAGTTGTCATATTATATTACCTTCGCCACTTTGAGTACTCTACGTACGCTCTCGTTATTAGCCCAGTATTCGGATAGCGAATACCGATACGTCTGAAAAAAGAAAAAAAAAACTTGTTCAATACTCTTCTATAGTAGTTTGTAAAATGGCTAGTCATTTGATCCAAAGATAAAACTTACATAGCAATCAGGAGATGTAGGGTCACAATTTGATTCTAGGATGAGTTCTTCATATATTCTAGAAACAGACTGTAAATAAACCACATAATTATAAGTTAGTGATTAACCATTGAATCTCAACATGTGTGTGTTTACCTTGTTGAAGTCTTGAACGAGTTTCAAGCATTCTGTGTTTTGAGGATCCACGTTAAAATAATTTCCTCCACACCTTTTCTTCATTGACTACAACACAATAGTTTTGAAATGGCTCGTTAACTACTCTATCGTGGTTAAAAGAGACGAAAGGATTCCTAAGATTTTTAATTGGTACCTCATAGAGTTCATCAGAGATGAGTGCCATTCCATGAGCAAATGGAATGCGACTGTTACGATCATGATCAACTTCTGTTGCCGGATTTCCGAGCACATAGCCCTATTGTTGGAAAGCATATAGAGAGGGAGAAAACGACTCTTTATAATTCTTAATTCTTGAAATAACATAAGAAGCAAGTACGTACTGATGTAACCTGAAGATTTATTTGAGGTTTGCAGCATATACAATTTCCTGTAATAAATTAGTTAAATAATTGAATCAAGAAAATATGCAAAAAAAGGGGAATGAAATGGAAAAACAAAAACATACCATTTGAAATCTCTTGAACGATCGCGGGAATCACCTTACCAGAATAAGAATTCCCGGCTATGTAGAAGGGATTGGAGAAATATTTAGGATGCTTGTCTAACCACTGCATAACATTCACCCACAAAGATAGCAAAATCGTAGATTAGTTCTCAACCTAAAACCAAATACTGATAAATGGATTGATATATTTTCTTTATATATTATATATTCAAGAACATTTCAACTCCCAACATGCTACTTTGTCATTCATAGGTTTTTTCAAAATGATAGTTATTTGACCATCAATCTCACAGTATTTAGACAAAGAGCGATTAATCAAACGTTGGGATGAATCTACTATGGATTGCATAGATAATATGGATAGTGCTCTAATATCATATTAAATTAAATGTGGTAAAATTAATTAGTTGGTATATCTATCTTATTAGCATAAACATTGTGTTGGATCTAATCTTTATTTTGTAAGTTTTTAAATTAAATACATTTTTCTACTTTATATTTAAACCTATACTACTATCAATGTTTCCAAACAACACTATAATTAATCTTGTGTCCAAACAATACAAAATATTAGCTCTCATCTTTTTAATAATTTCTAATAATTTTCTTTCAATTTATTTAGATAAATTAAATAATTTAATAATTCAAATAATCTATAATATTATTTGAAAAGTAAATTTGCTTAGTTGTCAACTTCTCCTTGATTTTAGGGAAATTTGTTTATTTTCATGTTTTAATAATTTATTATATAATAAAAACGAATTTATGTTAATAATATTATATTTTTAGAAAATATGTTAATTCTTTTGTATTAGATTGTTATCTTAAAAATATATTTTTCAATTATTATTTTAGAAGTAAATTTGCTTAATTGTCAACTTCTCCATGATTTTAAGTTATTTTGCTTATTTNTTATATAATAAAAACGAATTTATGTTAATAATATTATATTTTTAGAAAATATGTTAATTCTTTTGTATTAGATTGTTATCTTAAAAATATATTTTTCAATTATTATTTTAGAAGTAAATTTGCTTAATTGTCAACTTCTCCATGATTTTAAGTTATTTTGCTTATTTTCATGTTTTAATAATTTATTATATAAAAAAAAGAATTTATGTTAATAATATTATATTTTTAGAAATATGTTAATTCTTGGGAAATTGCCAAAAATAACACTTTCAAGATACCACTTTTCAATTTATATTAACCAACTTTACTATTAAAATTTTAATAGGCAAAATACTATTATACCCTTAACTAATAAACTTAACAATTTTAATAAGGTTTTGATGGATTAGGGTTTAGAGTTTATAATTTAGAGTATAAGATTTCGAATTTAGGGTTTAGAATTTAGGGTTTAAGATTTCGAATTTAGGGTTTAGAATTTAGGGTTTAAGATTTTGAATTTAGGGTTTAGGGTATAGAATTTAGGGTTTAGGGTTTAGAATTTAGGGTTTGAATTTCGAAATAGTATAATTCAAATTTTTTTTTTTGTGTTTATATTTATTTAAATATTTATTTTATATATATAAAGTTTAAGGGTATAAGAGTCTTTTATCCTTTAATGAAAAGTGTATTTTTGAAAATGTTCATTTGTTGATGGTAAAAATGAAAAGTGGTACCACCAAAGTGGTATAAGTGAAATTTTCCATTAATTCTTTTGTATTAGATTGTTCTCTTAAATATACATTTTCAATTATAAAATTTAAGTGAATTTGCTGATTAATTTGTATCTTTCACGTTGAAAGTTAGAGCGGTTAATATCATTTATATCCTTAATGAATAATTAAAATTTTTAATATAATTAAACAGAAATAAAAAAACGAATTTCAATAATTTTAGATTTATTTTTATCCAAAACTATTTTATATTCGGTTATAAAGTATTTATTAACCTTGAAAAATAATTATATTAGTTAATATATAATTAATTATAAATTAAAAACGAATTTCATTTATTTGATAATTATCCTTATTTTAACTTTTTTATATTATGTGATAAAGTCTTTATCAACCTTGAAAATAAATTATATTTGTTAACATATAATTAATTCTGAATTAAAAAATGAATCTCATGAATTTGATAATTATCTTTATCTAACTTTTTTATATTGTGTTATAAAGTCTTTATTAACGTTGAAAATAATTCTATTTGTTAATATATAGTTAATTATGAAAAATCAATTCGCAAAGAATTTATGTATAGATAATTATATTGTGTTTTCCAAAACATTATTAAAGACAATTTTTTATACTTTTTTGTTATGTCTAAAAATGATATTAATTTATTACTAAATGTTTTAAGTTCATGAGTATTTTCAAATATAAGTTGTGTAATGAAAATTATTTACATGATGATGAAAAATTTTATATATAGAAAGAATTTGTTTAGTTTATTATTAAATATTTTGAGTCTATGAACTATAATTTATTATAATTTACATAAATTGATTATATATTTATTTATAGATATTAGTAAAATTATTAAACCCGCAAGTGCGGGCAAAACACGTAGTTTATAAATTAAAAAATAAATAGAACTTAATTTTACAGGTTTAAATATTACATATTGATTATCCATCGGTACAATCGATTGATCTTGGTGTTAAGTGATTATTTAAATATAATTTTTTTTAAAAATAAATAAATTAAATTATCAAACTACTAGATTAACCAGTTAAACTGCGGGTCCATGTCAAATTTAAATACACTGATTTAAATACAAAATTATTTTAAATACACAAATTTTACAAATTAACAAAATATTTGTTAATCTATACTATATAAAAGTTGAGGCTATAAGCCATTGAGGACGTCCACGTAGGATTTAAGTCCTCCAATCGTATAATGACACATCATTATATTAGTTTATTATTTTTATAAAATGTCATTGTTTCCAAATTATATTAAAAACGAAATTAATATTCCATATATAACTTAGCTAACAAAATAAATATTGACATTTTAAAA